AATAGTTGCAGATACTCATTCGACCTATAATCAAAGAAACTGAAGTATCCAAGTATATCAATTACATTATTACTTCTATTAATTTGCATAGGTTTTTGAGTACAATCGAGAGTGGCTGTAATTTCTTTTCTTTTCTGCAATCGACAGCAGATTTTAATCTAATGGGTCTGCGATATCCATTATTATAGCCCTGGGAGTAGGGTTATTGAATATGACAATATCAGGCTTATTTGCTTCCATTGTTTTACCTGTAACAATGGCAGTATACCACAAGATTTGTGTTCTCTCATTAGACAGAACTTGCTCCAGTAGATATTTGTAACAAGGCAAGCTTCAAGCACATAACTTTAAAACTTAAAGGCCCATTCAGAATGCAAACATAAACATAAGCATGGTGTTAACATTAAAGTTAGGACTACACCCATAAGCAGACTCCTTCACAATGCGTTCGCATAAGCATAACACGTAAGATGTTTACTTAAAAGCTTGCAAGCTTCAAGCTTGTGCTTATGCTTAAGTAAGACATAAGAAATGAACCAGTCACAGAACGGAAACTCAAACTCAAGAATCGAAATTGGAGTAAGTAGAATTAACACCATATGGGCCATGGACAGTTGATACCTTGAAATCGATTCTCACATCCAACCAATAGTAAACCAGAATGTCTCGCTGCCAACAGAAACTCTTATTTTGCTTTTGTTTATGTAAGACATTGTGAATACTTTAGTCTATCAGTTATGTTAATGTTTATGTCTATGCACTATACTTATGATTGTTTGCTTTGTGAATGGGCCTTAATAGTCCAGGTCCTCCTTGGTGTCTTGAAAGATATAGCCTTTCAGTGGATCATAGAGGATGATGCATCCGATATTTTGATAGAACTGTTCCAACCTTTCTATCAAAAACTTGCAAAGATTCTCAGACCATTTGACAACTCCAAATGTATGTGATGCTGCTGAGAGCCCAGTGTTACAAACATTCCTGTAAATTTGTTTCTCGAATTAATACAGGACTTGCAGAGTTTTGTAACAAGAGAGAGAACCTTTCTTTCCACATGTTTTCTTATTTTCTCATCTGCAGTTCGTAGGAGCTGCTGGAGACCCAGATACTTATATTAACCGCCATTGAAGAGTTCCTCAATTCTCAAATCTTTCATCAAATGAGGTTCATTCTCTGTATTCTGGAAGCAACCTCTCTTAATGTAAACATCAGCACACTTCTCCAAACCAAGATCCATACAAACAGAGCTGCTGAAGCTTTCAACAAGTGTTAGCATGCTGCGAAGTTGTTCAAGCCCTTTAGCATGGAGCTTGAGATCATCCATATATAATTGGTGGGAAATGATCTTATTGGGGTTATTCAAAGCATATCCATAGCCTGAGGCATTCAGCATTCTACTCAAAGGGTTCAAAATAGGCAAAACCAGGGCAGGCTTAGGCTCTCTCCTTCGCAAAGAATCTGTCTGGGAACCCAATTTCACTCTCATAACATGCAGTGTTGTTCGCCAGCTGTTCACGTACATTTAAAGAAATTTAATAATAGATGGGTGAACCTTGTAGAGTTGAAGGGTTCGCTGCAACCAAAATGTGGAATAGAATCAAATGCCATTTGGAAATCAATCCAGTCAACTGATAAATCATGTTTTCTTTTTCACAAGCTTAGATACAATATTATCTATTGTCAATAATGTTTTGCATCCTCAAGATCCTTTCCTACAACCAACCTATTCTGGCAAAAACAGCTTTCTTACAGATGCTTGTCACGTTTAGTGGCAATAATGGAAGGTGAGAACTTTATAAATTGTAGGTAGACACGTAAATGGTTAAAAATTCTCGAGGCAAGACACATTTCCACCTTTTGGTAACATAAATGTCACGCCTAAGGTACAAAATTCTGGCAACGTAAATGTTCTTTGCAAATTGGTTTGGAATTGACTTGCCAATATATCATGAGTGCATGTCAGATATTTCCACAAAAAAGTATGTATTCCATCTACTCCTGGAGCTTTCCAATTGTGGGGTCTCTTAACAGAACCTTTTACAACCTCTGTTGAAATCACAATTCTATTTGTGGGATATTGAAACAAGCGTCTTCTTCCTGCAGTATCCAGTAGGCTTCATCAAAATGTTGCTTTGGAGTGGACCAAATCTGAGACCAAAAGTCCATCACAGCAGAAGTACTGGGGGGGATTAGGTCATTGTTACCTCTATTATCAAGACCATCACCACCATGAGACAGGGTGTGCTATTATTTATTATTGATATTATACTTTTATTTCAAATACAGAAAACTGCAAACATTGATCTTTAAAATTACACACTTCAAGGCACAATAAAGGAGTTTTAAATAATGCAGATTTATACTCATTTATGTACGTAATTAGTAGTATGTAAGTAGGAGCAAGAAAAATCCTCAAAAATTGTAGTTTTGTTGCATAAATAACTTTGTTGCATATTTTTAATTCAATGGAGTAAAATATGCTCTTTTTACTACCAACTTCAAATGCTCTTAGTGGTATGGTATGCTTTGAAGAATAAAACTACACAAAGAACAATGTCACAATTCTCAAATATATCTTGATTCGTGTTTTCTTCTCCCTTACATCATGTACTCAACTGCACATCCTGAACATTCTTGCAGGATTCTGCTTCTTTTGGTGGGAGAAATCAACCAAGGGAAATGCCTGCCAACACGAGGACACGGGTTGGTACCAGTGAAGGGATGTTTGATTTACTTGTCTGAGATTCAAATAATGATTCCGACCGATATATTTTACAACCGCAGGGGCAAAATACTTGTATGCAGTGAAGATGTGCTTAATCCTTGACTACACGTTGGGTTGCGTAGACTTCAGGGGGCTTGAGTCATCATAAACGAATAAATCATCATCAATAATGCCCCCACATTTACTTGAAACCACTCTTTAAATGTTCCCATTACTAATAAGAACAAAGCATGAAATTTGTCAAGTAGGTTTTTGCAGCTATGTGTGACACACATATGTACATTCCCTTTTTTAAATATATAGATTAGGTTTTAGTTTATTGTCACATCTCTCACTGGAGTCTAAACGCTTTTGAATTTTTTGTTTAGGTGCTCCAAAATTGTCCAAATTTTATTTAGTGTTGGCTGAGGGTGGTCGTCAGGATTGTATATTGAGTTGTGTGAAAAGTGAAGGTACATTTTTAGCATAAAAAATCGTTTATAGGAAAGCAATTTATGAAATATTGGAGTTTCAAGCATGGGATATTTACTCCAATACATCTGATAGCTGGATTTCTTCATAATATTTTGAAGCAGTATTACACTCATAAAAATTCTTATTCCATCACCGGTAGGGTCATCCCATGAAGAAATGTTTAATTTTTAGCATATCTGTTACTTTCTGACACAATGCCAGCTAATTTGTCATCAAAAATTGATTCACATATTCCAAAACACCTTCCAAATAATTATCAACAAAAACAGCTGTTCATGTAAATGGAAATCTTGGAGGAGCTGGAGGCAATGTTGAAGTGACATCTATTTCTCACCACAATCTGATGTCGGAGAGACTGATTTCTGAAGCACTTTAATCACTATCAGATAAGTTGTCCAATCACTTTCAGTTATGTCAGTTTCTAAATCACTGAATTCAAGATCAAATTCTTTATCAGTCTCCTTAGCGAAATAGCAAAATAATATGTGAATAGTGACAGATCAAATATTATATACAAATACTATATACATAAGGACACTAGGTCTTCCACACTCTGCGAGCTTCGACTACAGCTAAAGTTCCCACAAATATTAGTACACAAAAGTACCACAATAACATTGGACATTGCATTTTCATACACTCTAGCAGGCTCCTCTACAATGGGCTGCAATGAAGAAATATATTCGGGCTTTAACTTAGTTTACCACACCTTGAAAAAACACTAGTATACTAATGCTTTTATGTTAAATGGTTAAGGAAGAAGAACAGAGTAATACCTCAAGAAATGGCAGTGATACCTCATTCTCATCAACAAGACCATTTTCTAGACAATTTGCAATATTATTGTGACTACAGTAAGAATTTAGTTAAAAATAAAAAAAAATCAGGTCTCTTCAAAATTAGATTGTCTTATATTCAACGTCAACTTATACTCGGGTAAATATGGTACCAGGAAGAAGTCAACTTATACTCGGATAAATATGAACAGTGGAGTGAAGGATCCAGCAAAAACTCTTTGAAACAGACCTTGTACAATTACAAGAAACTTTCTAAGAAATCATTCACAAAATTTAGATGTGAAATTAATTTTTTAGAAAATATTCATAACACCTATTATGATTAAAATCTAAATTATAGAAATAAAATAAAGAAGTGTCTGTGAGTAAAAAGGAAACATGTTCATTTCGTACAAAGAAATACAAATATCAAGAGAATTTGACATAAGAATAAAAATTGATATTAATTACTAAATCTTAAATTAATATTAATTACTATCTTTCATGGACTAAACTACATGAGAAAAATTTGTTAACTTGATTGCAAATTTAAAACACAGCACTTAAACAAAATACAATGTACTGAACAATTTTCGAAATTGATGTTACGGCTTAAGTCCGAAATCTGGAAGATTCCGAAATTAGCCTGGAATTTGGCACATTTGCAGGGCTTGTTGGATAAAATTTTATGAATTATGGTGAATGAACGAGTTGTTTTGGATATCGTCCAACTAATTTGTGAAGCCCTGGCTAAAGGAAAGTGATCGTCTGAATGCAAGGTATCTTGTGTGTGTGCAAGAAGTACTTTGGCATAAAAATGCATGTACTGAATAATGTTAACTTCATCTGAGCAACGCCTGATGGATGCTTCTAAATGTTTCCTACCTCAGACTTTATCCACCATCTTTGGCTAATAAACCATTTGTATGAATAAATCGGTAAATTTGTGAATCAGATATGAATATTAACCATAACATGTAGATGAATTATAAGACCTTATTGTAAATGACACTGGCACTACAAACCTTTGACACATCCAACATTAGCCCAAAATCAGCAAGTTTAAACGTATTATCAGAAGACACTAGAATATTATCTGGTTTGATATCAAGGTGAATTAGTTGATTTGTGTGAAGATGTTTCACAGCCTGAAACAACCAGAATCATAAAAATAGTATATCCAACATCACAGGAGGAGGATGATACACTTGTTCCGAAAGTAATGCCTCCCATATTTAACACTTCACTTACGACTTTAAATAAATGTGAGGGGTGTCATAGTGGACTTCCCATTAATGTTTGCTTAATTTCGTTGCTATTAGTCAGATAGAAGCAGAGTGAATGGAAGTTTGTCACCCAATACAAAGCTGAAGGTAGCAGTTTTCTGGACTGAATATTACTGGCCTTGAAACATTGTGTCACCGTTACGAGACAGAACAAAACAAAAGTCCATAAGAGTTTCCCGTCCAGGTTATATGGGTTTGTACAGATTTTCACAAGTCTGGGATGCAGGCTCTCCTTGGCTGGTGGAGAAAATTCGTAGAAAAAAGGGAGACTAGATTGAGAAATAGCGTTGTGTTCAAAAAGCTTTTTTCGAACATATTGTATTAAAGATTTTTTGAATTATTATGGTTGTTATACAAATAAATGGAAAGCATTACTTTCGTAACAACCCTTGTGCTGTAAAAGGATTCAAGAATAACAACTGCCTAATTCAGCATAATTCACTAATTATATATGCACCCAGTTAGAAAACTTTTATATTTGGTAAAATTACCAGTAACAAATCCAGGAGAATCTTCCACAGCAATTCTTCTGACAATCCCACCCTCAAAACGTACTGTTTTAATGCCACTGAGCACAGTTCCATTTGCACAAACAGGAAAGCATTCTCTTCCCAAGCTCTTATTAACTCCACACAAAAACGACTTTGTGGAATACTAGCATATCGATGAATCTCTCCCAATCTGATACTCCTGCAATCATGATACATATATGTAAAAAAAAATTTTGAAATTCATAACTACAGAAATTCACATATAAAAAGATAATAGTATTTCAAATTCAGATCTCTACAGAAAATATAAAGCATTGGTTTTAGAGATTTGTATATTTATTTTCAACATACATATACGATGAACAGTAAGGTTGTAAGTCCAAAATATCTAAAAAGCTGCCAACTGGTGAAAAAATTAGATCCTCAAAGTTTCAGGTTTGATATTTTTGCGACCTGTCTCATCAACACAGAAGTATTTTTCTAAAAATTCGGGTGGTGGTGCATTAAAAGGTAAATAAATTTTAATAGAGTCATTTTCTTCTGTAGTTTTGGAGAGAATGACTCCCTGGCTTAAGTGATAAGCCTTCTTTTAGCCACATTGGATAACTGCAGCAGAAACAGCATAACTTTTGTCTGCATGCAGAACGCAGACTGTTTCACCTTCTTTAGTTAAATTGGCAATTGCCTACTGTTTTGTCTCCCCTACAATTCTCTTAAAGAATTCTTCATTTTCTGCAGATTAGAGAACTAGAAACGCCTGATAAAACAAATACTCTATACCAGACACCAGAGTTCTCCATTTGGGATCGAGTATTGTGTATCACATCTAGTCTCCCCAAGCATATTTCCATAATCCTAGTTTACACTGTAAATATTAGTTTTTACAAAGAGCTTTCTTTCTTCAATAAACTTAATGAATATTTCCAACTTTTGAGAAATATCACAGTTACAAGAAAGCATCAACTATCGCAATTATGGATTATCACAACGTAAAGATGTATTTATCACATTACCAGTAAGTATCAAATCCACAATGTGGTGGAATTATAATTATTTACATGTGAGTGGTAGATACTAAATTCTAATACTTCAATACCCAAAGTTTTAATTACATTTCACATCCTTGTGATTGGATTGTTAATAAATATAACGGTGTAGTTTCATGAACAAATGTATAAGAATGTCAGACAGACCATGCTGGAACTCAAATATCACATGTACTGTGCTATGTATTAATTTGTGTAAAAACAATTTATTTATTACTTCATTAGCAAATATTTTCGAACTAAAATTATATTCAAAAAGCATTTTTATGGCATAATATAGTCATAAAAAAACAACTGTAGCCTTTTTCCAATAACACTTAAAAACTTAGGTTGAAATCTTATTCTAATGTGTTTCAATGTAAAAAATTTAGAGAGCAATAAAAGCAGACTCACAATTTTGTAATGTTTAGAACAAAGGGAAACAACGTATTCAGTCAACGTTAAAACTATATATCTTTAAATCTGTACATTTCTCAAGCCGGCTCAAGACTGATATAAATATTATCAGACAACATAGTCTGATGAAGCTGACACTTTCACAATCCCATTTTTTAAACCATTGGGCAACTTTTGAGGGGTCCACATCAAAAATTTGAACAAAGGCTTCTTGCAATCACCCTAGCAGTATTTAGAGGAGCAGTAGAATATGGCAGTCATTAATATATTTAAAAAAAAGTGATTTGCATTAGATAGATAAATTCTATCTACAATACAACCCAATAATAAAATAAATACTACACTCAAATAAAAGCAATAATATGCAAGGCATGCAACACAATTCATGGTTAGAAAATAAAAGTCATGTATACACTGAAAACGTGCATTCACACATAATACAACTTCACACACAATACTTAAATGGAGGCCCCCCAACAATGGCATAATTAAGTCAATTATGTATTATTGAGTATATTTCTTATTATCTTCAAAGTTTTAAAATATTACATTATAGGTACATTATATGCAGACATAGTCCTACACGTTTTAAGAAAGTAAAATTAAATAGGCTTGCTTACCTCTGTTTTCTATTTGTAAAAGGTTTTTTAAATCGCTTAACAGCATATAATTTCCCATCATCTTTACTTCTAGCTTCAAATACAACACCAAAAGATCCTTCAGCCAGATACTTAACATCATCAAAACACTGTTCAATGTAGCTCACTTTTATCTGTGGTGAATATGTGGGACTCAATATACTCTTTCTTAGATGTTCTGGAAGGGTGACTGGTTGAGCCACTTGGGAAAACAACAACTCCTCATGTGCCACTCCTGAAATGTCTTCCTTATATGGTGTTTCATTTTCAAGAGCAGTACTCCTACTTACAAACAACGACTGGGAAATCAGAGAAAAGAACTAATTACAAGTATCCACTTCTTTACATGCAAAACAATAATTTACAGTTACAGAAATTCAGCATTGTAAATAGTAATAACAATGAAATCAATTAAGATCATATTAACAATAATCTTTGTTATTTTCAAGAGTATTTATATTGGGCATTGGTCTGTTCTTCTTAAAGAATACTGATGATAATGTAAAATAATTGCAATGAGGAATAATAAATTCAAAATTAATGAAAAATACAAATACTAAAACAAAAAATAAGGAAAAACAAGCAAAGAAATTAAATATTGCATGCTCAAAATTGCATCTCGTGAACATAAAATCGAAAAGGATTTTTGAAATGCTGTGGGGGGAGGGACACATTTATGAAGTTTCAAGACAAGATTGCAGGCAATTTTAGTACTTGTTTTGGGCACAAAGAACCAAAAATAAGTCGAAAATCGGGCTTTGATTCGTTGTTGCCACGTCATTAAAATTTTTACCTTCATAAATCATCAAAACAAAGAAATTATACTTTAATTTTCAATATGTTGACAAGATAACAACAGTCTCAACAAAAACGTCAACGAACTTTTACTCAATCCTAAACGACCAACACCAGGACCATTGCTTTTGAAACGTGCATTAATACATTTAAAAAACAACAATGAAATTAGGCAGTAAAAATGTTAGAGAATCAACAGATAAAACAATGATCCATTCTATTCAGTAAGCGGTGAATATAAAGTTGATTAATAACTTAATAACTACCTGGAAATTTCGCTGCAATAATTCACTCATTATGGTATAATAATTTTGCCACAAGAAAAATAAATTTAATTTCATGAACACTTGTTGAGCATAGCAATATACTCCTCAGGGGAGTGTGGGAACAACGCATGCAAACCGGAACCGGCATTCCGGCGTAAGCCCACCGCTCCAGGGCCGGTTCACTCAATGTTAAAAGGCGGGGGACTAAGTTTGTTTCCTCACTCACCCGGACCT